GATGAACTGTTAGCAGAGATGGGAAGTGATTCAAATGCTCTGGATTTCAATGTGCAATTATGGAAGAAATGTGATTAGACTATCATATCCTTTGACTCAACAATCCTACTACTGAGAATAAACTCACAATGCATTAAAAGACAAAAACAAAAGTCCAAATTATATCAGAATATATGTAGCAACATATTATGTCATAATAAAGAATTGGAAATAAAATAGGTACCAATGAATTCAAGAATGGCTGTGAAAGGTAGTATTTTAAATTGATTAAATATTATACTGTATAGTAACAGCAACGAATGTAGGTTCAGAAAAACATGGAAAAATTCATCTTAACTGATGCAGAATGAAATAAACAGATTCAAAAGAACAATATGCATGATGATTACAACAATGTAAATGAAAGGATCCCCGAAAGGAAGTAAAACTGAATAATGGAGAATTTAATGAAGACCTAAGTTTAAAAAATTATTTCCACACTCAAGCATAAAGGTATGGAACTAGCAGGATGGAAAAATGTTTACATTGTCTGAGATGATTTCTGTTTTGGATGTTTTCACTTCATTATTTTTCATTTTTTTATCAAAAGTAAGAGTTCAAACTAGGGGAGATTGTTGTTACCAAAAATACATCAGTAAAACATTACAAAGAATAGAATAGAATAAGGGAACTGGACTGGCTGAGCTGTTAGGTCCTTTCTAGTGCTAAAAGAAAAATAATTACCATCCCAATCCCCTAACTCCATATATATTGGTCATCAATGCTGTGAATGTTAACAAGTTAAATGTGTTTCCTTGGGAAATCAGGGTTCAATGAAATCAGGGCTAATTTTTATTGACTTGACTTTTGGATAGTGTTTATACCTTAGCAGTGGAAAATCCAATATTTTTAATAATGATGTGTCTAAGTTACTAGATGTGGAAATAGAGGAGGCTATAATCAATGAGAAAAAAATCCCTAAAAATTGTCTTTTTCTTCCTCATTGACAATATGTAAAGAAGGAAAGCAAGACCTGTGAAAAAAGGGAAGTTGAAATGGCATACCAACACCTTCTCTTTAGTTAGCTTAAGGAGCACAAGGAGGTCAACATGATTGCTCATGCTTGAGACTGACCAGGACACTGATATATGTGTAGTGGAGTGGTTTTTGAAGAGCTGGTCTTAGGGCCAGAAAGACTTGAGTTCATGTCCTGACCTAACATATACTAGCTGTGTGGCCCTCAGCAAGTCAATTAACCTCTCAACACTTAACATAACTTTCTAAATTGTAGAGAAGGTACCAGTTTGCATTAGTAGTAGTAGGAGTTTCCTCTTCTGGGAGTTCTCTATACAAATGAAATTATAGATCCAAATCTTCTCTTTCTCTGTCTCTCTGTTTCTCTTTTGCTGGCTCTCTATCTTTGTCTCTGTCTCTCACTCTGTCTCTTTCTGCTTTATATTTATATATGTGTGTGTACATATATATGTATACACACGCACACATATGAAACATGGGTGGAATAGAGCATTCACAGAGTGTCCCCTTCTGATCTGGCCAATCACATGTACTAGCTCAGAATTGGGACATGCTAAAGATGACCTGATCATTCCAATGACTCAGTACTACAACACTAGCTTCTGCAATTAGTGATGAAAGGCTCTTGCAATTTGAGATGATGCATTATCTTATTAGCCATTTTCTTTATTGGTCAAAAAAGAGATGATGACTCAATGGATATTTAAATAAATGACTCCTACTTTCAGGCCCTCTTTTCTCTCATCTATGTATCATGTCAATACTGTTTTCAGCCTCTTTTCATGAGGTGTGGGGAGAGGATGACTTGTCCTGTCTTCTACCTGTCCACCATGTGGATATGAGCACATGTTGCAAGCCTGAATGTGGGTGTTAGGTTAGTGTAAAAAATAATAAATAGTGTTTAAGCCAGAAGCTCCCGAGACATAAATGGAGGAGGAGGAGGAGGAGGAGGAGGAGGTGGGGAGGGGATTAGAGGTCAATTGAAAAAAAAAGTGTTATAAACCAGACCATGAGGGAAAAAAATCTCCTCTATCATCTTTTCTCCTTATTACCAGTTAGCCATGTCTCCATGTTCTTGTTCTGGTTCTTATTTGTTCCTGTAGCAATGGTAAATTTAAGATGTCATAGCACTAAAGGGTATGGCTAACATGCTAAAAACATAAAAAAAACTCTATCCCATACTAACTACCCAACTTTGGATTGCTTATACAAACACTTCCACGATTCATGTCTATCTCCTTGAGAGGGAAGGGGGGCATCTCCAGTCATTCTGATCTATATCTTGCCACTAGTCCCAGATGGCTCTGGAGGAGAAAGTGAGGCCCTGCCTCACTTAAATCTAATTCACTTACAAGTCATGGCTTCATCTTCCTGATTGTCATGGTACTCTTCTAGAATGAAGGACAAACAACAACTTGTGAGTAGTCTGAGCTGCCCCACTGGGGACCCAAGCCAGTTCTAGTTGGACAGTGCAACTCATTCCTTCCTTCCTTCCTTCCTTCCTTCCTTCCTTCCTTCCTTCCTTCTTTCCTCCCTCCCTCATTCCTCCCTCCCTCTCTCCCTCCCTCTTTCCCTTCCCTTCTCATTAGCTAAATCAGCCTGAGCAGCCCAAGAATTAGGACAAAGTATATGTCCTTTGCCTCATTTTCTGGTCACCATTCCAGGCCCCAGAATTGAGTCCTTGGTAAGCCCAGGCAGGAAGGAAGAATGGAGAAACCCCAGAGAACCTTATTAGTGATCCAACAGCATCAGCTGGGACTTGAGCTAAACAGTTTTAGGAAATGGAACAGAATGCCGTGGAGGATACACTCCAGAAGGCTAAAGGGGTAAAGGGGATGGGGAAGTTAGCTTTCTCTAACTGGCCTAGTGGTTCTCATGAAGATTATGAGAATGACAAGAAACCAAAGAAGTAGAAAAAAGACTTAATAGAGCAAATTGAACTATCTTTTGCAATTAGTCAAGCATTTCTTTAGATATCAACTTCCCTCCCTGGTAAAGGTTGGATCTCATAAAAAACTTGGTGTCTGTAGAATTTTTAAAAGAAGAAAATAAACAGGAAGAAAGATAATTTTAAGACCCTTCATAGCTTTCTACATTACAAGGTAATTTTGAAGTGAATCTCTTTTCCTCACCAACCCACCATTCTTATTTTTTGGGGGGGCGGTAATCTACTTTGAAACCACTCCTATGTGATGAGTCTTAGCCAGATCAATGGAAGCTCACTAACATAAAGATGAGAAATTCCAGTGAAAAAATCACCCTGACTTCCTATGTAATGCTGGGTAATATGTTTGGAATGTTTTCATTTACCTGTCTGTACAATGGGAGAAATAATTCCTGTCCTTTGCTCCCTAACTGAAAAACATGAATGAAACTAAGAACCTCTGTCAGACTCTTAAGAAAGGTGCTAATAACCTGTCTAATAAAACAATTTTAGATACATAATCCTCAAAACAGCCCTATGATATAAACAGTACAGAGTGTCTATTTTATAAAATGTGGTTCAAAGAGGTTCATTTGAATTAAGAAGAGGAACTCAGCTAACAAATAATTGGAATGTGAATCCAGGATATTCTGAGTCTAGTGCTCTTCAATTAGCTCAATCCAAGTTTGCCTAGTATCAACAGGGCAATTAGTAGCTGTCACCTGGTATTCTGCTGGTTCCCTTTATCAAAGATAATCTAGGGCTACTAACTATTATTCCAAATGGTATCCTTTTTTATTTAACACTTTGTAAAAATTGACACTTTTTATTTTTGTATCATATTAATTTTCAGACATATTCCTTCCTCCCTCTGCTGCTCATTAAACAAAAGAATGAAGAAAGAAAGAGGTTTTTAAAAAGTATTTCTGCAAGAACAACCAATACTGACAATGTCACATAGTATATACAACATCTCACATTCATAGCCCTCCATCTCTGAATTCAAGGCAGGGGAGTACATTTTCCCCCTACTCTTCTCAGGGCAAGCATGGTAATTATAGTTAAATAGTAGTTGGTTTTGTTTTTCTGTTCTTCCTGTTTATGTAAGCTAGCCATTGGGTACATCACTCTCCTGGGTCTGCTTACCTCACTCTTCATCAGATAATATGAGTCTTCTCACAATTATCTATATTCCTCATATTCATCTTTTCATATAGATAGTATTATTCCATTACATTTGTGTACCACAATTTGATTAATCATTCCCTAGATGGAGAATATCAACTTTATTTCTAGTTCTTTGCTACACCCCTCCTCCCCCCACACAAAGTACAGCTATGATTATTTTGGAATGTACAAAACCTTTCTGTTTTTTTATCTCCTTGAGCTATATATTTAGTGTAAGGATTTCTGGGTCAATGAGTATAGACATTTGAGTCACTCTCTTAGAATTATTCCAATTGGTTTTCCAGCATATGGGACCAATTTACAATTCCTCCAGAGTATATTAGTGTATTTGTCTTTCCACAACGCCTTCAATATTAATTATTTTATATATTTTATCATTTTTGCAATTTGCTACATGTGAGTCATTTTGATCTGCATTTTTTTAATTATCAGTGATTTGGAGCAATCTTTCATTATGATGGTGAATAACAAAATACATTTTCTAAAAAGAAAAGTCATCGAGCCAAATCATCGAGCAAAGTGATCCCAAGGTGCCTTCTTCCTGCACTTGTATCTGGGCTTATTTTGTGTCCCCTTCTGTCACCTCAGTCATTGGATTGAATCTTTGTCATTTAAAAGCCCTTGACAGCTTTCTCCTCACTCTTCCTTCTTTCATACCAAGGACAAAGTCAGGTTTGGACAACTCTTCTTTTCTATTTCAATTAAAAGTGCAGTCAGAGGCTTGTATCTTGATGAGAAAGAGAAGGGGGGTGGGGTAGGAATAGATAAATGAGCAAAGGTGAGTTATGATTGGCTGCCAACCTCTCACTCTATTTCCTGTTCTGGGGCAGCACAAATAGAAGCCTTAATTGACACTCTGAGCAGGACTATGCCTCAGGCTTCAGTACAGAACAAATCACATCACACTTAGGGAAGGATCAGTAGCATGTCACTCTCCAACCTGCTGTGGGCACTCATAGCCTTCACCTGCCTTGGTAAGAACAGTTAGCAAGTGGGGAACTGAGTCACTGCTTGGGTCTAGGGGACTGAAGGGATGGAAAGTTAGTTGGGCATATCGAAGGGCTGTGTGCCAGTGAGAGGGAAGGAGGGATAGATATTAGATTGCTGTTGCTTTTGCATGGTGGTTGTCTGCTAATGCTTTGAATCATGTTAGCCATTTCTTCAGCCTTGTTTTTGCTACCTCTTCACAGAACCGGGCATGGCACCAAGCGTCACTCAAACCCCACCAGTGATATATGTACAGGAGGGGAAGGCTGTGATTCTCAACTGCACTTACTCCACTGGTGACACTAATTATTATTTGTTCTGGTACAAGCAGCTTCCTAGTGGGGAGATGATTTTCCTTATACGTCAGGATTCTTACAGCCAACAGAATGCAAATGAGGACCGATATTCTGTGAACTTCCAGAAAGCAAGCAACTCTATCAGTCTCATGATCTCTGCCTCACAACTGGGGGACTCCTCAGTGTATTTCTGTGCTCTGAGAGATGGCCACAGTGAGAAGCGTGATGAGGAAAGCTGTATAAAAACCTCAACAAACAAGAGATCAGATACCTACCTGCTGCAGAATCCAACAGATGCTCTGACAACCCAGAGAGGAAGTGGGCTGAGACCAAAGATGTCTGTGAATGGTTCAGCTGAGGGTCTGAACTTTTTTACTTTATCCAAGGAAACACATTCTCCCAGTTGACCTCAGAGAATGAACAATGATATTTGTAAGCCATAATCCTCAGAAGTATTCACATCTTTGAGCCCTTCTCCCACATCAGGTAATAGATAATGAGAACACTGAATGAAGTTTTCAGAAACTTATGTCACATGTTAGTAGTGAGGGAAGGCAACTGCCTCCACAACATCTTCTCTTCAATATCTCACAAAAACATAAAACTCAACATGTTAATAATAAGACTTAATATGTCCCTTCACCCTGCTCCTACTTTTTTTTCTCTTCACAGTTTCTGTCTATGGTATAACAAATCTGCTGTTTCCTACGTTTGTAACCTTGAAGTCATCTCTGACTCTTCCTTCCTCTCTTCTTGCATAACCAGTCAATTACCAAGTACTGTTGATTCCATCTCTGCAATAACTCTTATACCCAATGCTCTTTTTTTCAATGCTACCACCCTAGGACAGACCTTCATTTACCTACCTGTGCCATTATAATAGCCTCCTCATAGACTTTCCTGTTGATTTTCCTTCTCCAAACCAGCCTAAATATTATATATATACATGTGAAATCTGGTTATACCTTTTTCTCCTCACATGGTTCCATTGGCTCTGTCCTAAGTTAAGTTCAGAAGCCTCTGCCTGGCATTCCAGTTACTCCACATCTGTCACCATCCTACCTTTCCAGTTCAAATCCTTCTTCATATACTTCCTAGTTGTATGACTCTAAAAAAGTCTCACTTAACCTCTCTCAGGTTCAGTTTTCTTATCTGTAAAATAAGAATAATAATAACATCAACATCACAGGACTGTTGTGAAGATCAAAATGAGATAACACGTACATTTTTTGCAAACCCTAAAGCACTATATAAATCTTAGCTATAATTATTATGATTATGATTATCATGACTATTATCTCAAATTATTCCCACCACCACCACCAAACTCTATGCACCGTCTTCCCAGTTACTTGGATTCACAACCTGGGTGTCATCCGCAACTTCTCACTCTCTCACACATCCTATATCTAATCAGTTGCCAAATACTGTCATTTCTAATCTCATAATATCTTTCATCTGTAAAATGAACTGGAGGATGAAATGACAAACCATTCCAATATCTTTGCCAAGAAAATCCCAAATGGGACCACAAAGAGTTGGACACAACTGAAATGACTGAACAGCAAACATTATCTTTTATATACACCCCCTTCTCTTCTCTGACATTGCCAGTATCTTGGTGCAGGGCCCTTATCACCTCACCCCTGGACTATTACAATGCCCCATAGGTTGTTTTCCCTGCCTCAAGTATCTCCCCCCTCCAGTTCATCCTCCATGCAGCTCTCAAACTAATCCTCCTAAAGCATGTCTGACCATTTCACTTCTATATTTAATCAATTCTGATTGCTCCCTATTGCCTCTAGGATCAAAAATCCTCTGGCTTTTAAAGCTTTCCCTAATCTGGTCCTTTCCAACCTTTTCAGTCTTCTTACACCTCCCACTCCCATGTACTCTGTAATCCAGATATTTCAGAGCTTGGAAAAAGGTTCTCTGTGATCCTCCCAGAGAGGCTTCCAGCAAAAGGCCCCTCCTGAAACTTCAAAAAACCACAGCTCCCATGAAGCATCACTTTGACAAAAACCTCTTGGAACATGAGACTCCTATCAGGCCTGGGTAAATAGGGAAGTTCAGCTATTATCACTCCAAAGAGGCTGAAAAATGAGTGAGCATGTGGTTTGACGCTGAGCAGTCAAAAATAAAACCTGTGTGGTTTCACTTGGGGGAGGGAGGGCAGGACTGTTGATCACAGTTGCAGAAAATATTCATGGAGCCCTTGGGATTGACAAGACCTTGAGGTATCATTTCTTTAGTCCATCTTATTGCCTGCATGCAAAAGTAGTCATCTTTCTGGCTAGCTACTTTTAAAGACTTCTAGAGAAGGAAATTCTTTTATTCTTTCCATAGTCTCTCATTTCCTGTGTTTAAAAAAATCCATGGTGTCAATTTAAGAAGCATTTATTAAGCACTTATTATATGCCCATAGTGTAGGAGAAAGAGAGTTGGCTTTAGAGGCAGGTATACTTGAGTTCAGGTCCCGCCTCTGGTATATTTTGGTTAGGTGATCCTGGGCAAGTTATTGAACCTCTCACTAACCCAGGAAATTCTCTAAGACTGTGAGCTATACAGTGGAAAGGGTATTGGCTTTGGACTCAGAGAGTCTGGATTCAGATCTTGCTTCTGTCACTTACTACTTGAGTGACCTTGGGCAAGTCATTAAGCTCTCTGGGCCTCATTTTCCTCATCTACAAATCATAGGGATTGAACTAGACAGCTTCTAAGGACCCATCCAACCCTAAATCTGTCACCCTAAACTGCAAAATAGTTGCTAGGCCTTGGAAGACCTTAATTTAGAAAAGCCAAGAATCTCCCACTGCATCCTGGGCCAGTCATCTTGACTTTGTCTTGCCACTGAACTTTGATAAAAAAAAAAAAGCCACCCCTACCCCCAGAGAATAACATCAAGTGGTCACAAGTCACAAGCCCAAAGAGTCCTTGGAAGAACTTAAAAAAAATTCAAAAATCAAATAAGAGAGATTGAAGGAAAATTAGGGGAAAAAATAAAAGTAATCCAAGAAAATTATGAAAAGAAAGTTAACCAATTGGAAAAGAGAGATCCAAAATCTTAAGGAAGAAAACTCCTTGAAAACTAGAATTGGAATTGGGAATGGTTTTTTTTTTTGTTTTTTTGTTTTTTTACCTCACTATCTTCCTCTAGATATGAACCCAGATCTTCTTTTACACCAAAGTAAATCTATGGTCAGGTGTTTTTTCTTTTGCTTATTCAATTAAGAGGAATAGAATGACATTATAAAATGCCAAAAAATAATAAAACTAAGGAAAAAATAGAAGAGAATCTGAAACATCTCATTAGAAAAACAACTGATCTAGAGAACAGATAGAGGAGAGACAATATAAGAATTGTCAGACTATCTGAAAGTTAAGATTAAAAAAAAAGTAATCTGGGTACATTACAAAAAATTATTAAGGAAAATTGCCCTGAACTTCTATAACAAGAGATCTGCCATTCATCACCTGAAAGTGATCCCAGGAAGAAAACTGATACAACTATCTTGCCAAGTTTCAAAATTACCAGGTTAAGGAGAAAACATAAGCAACAAGAAAAAAAACAATCTGAATACTATGGAAATACAGTCAAGATTTCACAAGACCTAACAGTTTTTACTATAAAAGACCATAGGTCTTGGAACATTATATTTTGAAAAGCAAAAGAGCTGGGGTTGTGTCCAAGAATAACTTACCCAACAAATTTGAGTATAATCTTGAATTTTCAAAAATGTATATTTGATGAACTGAAAGACTTTTAGGTATTTGTAACAAAAAGATCAGAACTCAATGAAAAATTCAATATAAAAGATCCAGAAGAAATATAAGGAAAACATTAAAGACTAATTATAAGGTACTCATTGAAGTCACACTGTTTATTTATTATGTATATATATGAAAATGTTATCAGTATTTTTAAAACTGTCATCATTACTAAAGTAGTTTGAAAGAAAGGTTGGGGCTGAGTTGTATATTATGGGGATGATTCTAAAAAACAAAATTAGGTAGGAAAAGGTAAAAGGGAGCAATAAAATAGGGCATGAAAGAAAGAACTAATACAGGGGACCCAGGTGGAGGTGGAGGATTGGTAATGCTGAAACCCTACTTTCATATGGGTTGGAGAGGAAACAATGGATACATCTGGAAAGGTGAAGAAGTCTTCTGAACATGTAGAGAGGTGAGAAAACTGGGAGACCAGGTGGGAAAGAGATTTTTAGAGGGGTGCATAGATTGGGATTTGGGAAGGTGGGGGGAGAGTATGTGAGGCACTTTGGAGGGGTGTTTGGATTGAGATTGGGGGTGGGAGACAGGATGGGGGACTCTTGAAGGGGTGGGTGAAGTGAGGAGGTGGGAGGGTGGGGGAGATGATAAGGCAACAGGGAAAGGGTAAAAAGAGAGGTTGAGAAAAAAATAGTGAGTAAAATTAAGATGGAGGGAAATTCACAAATAGTAACTATAACTGAATATGAATGGGATGTTCATAGTGGTTCTCTTTGTGGTGGCAAAGAACTAGAAATTGCAGGGATCCCCATCAATTGGGGAATAGCTGAACAAGTTGTGATGTAATGCTACTGTGTTAAAAGAAATGATGAGCTCAATAATCTTAGAAGGGCATGAAAAGATTTGCACAAAATGATGAAGAGTGAAGTGAGCAGAACCAGTAGAATATTGTACACAGTAACAACAAAATTATTTTAAGAATAATTTTGAGTGACTGTCATTCTGACTACTATAAATACACAAATTAAAAATAAAAGATGTGAAGAAAGACACTATCTACATCCAGAGAAAGAACTGATAAATAGAAGTATGTGTAGAATAAGTTTATATATGTATGCCTATTTGTATCTAATGGTAGCCATCTCTAGGGGTGGGAGGGGGGAGCGAATAAAAAAAAGGGGGAAAATTTACATAATAACTTTGTTATATATTTGGAAGGAATAGCAAGTTGGAGATGGCAAATTGCATTTTCATGTGCAATCATCTTTTTTTTTTATTGTACTGTGTTATGGAAATGCTTGCTTTGTTCTGTGAATTGAAAACAAAAAAAAAATTTTTAAAAAGGAAGAAAATGTAGGACAAACAACAACAAACAACTCTGTAATCCAGTGCTATTTCTTGCACTAGATGTTGTTTCTCCTGACTCTAGGCATTTTTATTTTCTGTCCTTCATGCCTACCATACTAACCTCCTCATCTT